TGTGTGTGTGTGTGTGTGTGTGTGTGTGTCACATCTGCATACTGTAACCACACGAGGAAATAACTCCAGACCAGACAGACATGGTTAACCGTAGACCTGCCACTGTATGTTTTAATGGAAACATCCTGTAATGATTGGATTAGAGGGGAGAGGAATAACTTCTCTAACAGATAGCCGTTACGTCTGCCCACTCCTCCACTGAGTGATTTATTATTTAATATGTGGTAATGGCTCTTCCTGGATGATGAAACTGTAGATTTCACAGCTAAATTGTCAGGTTGCACCGCGGCATGAAACCTGTCTCTGTGGATCATCCTGAAGCTACCTTAGAAGATAACGTTTAGAAACATCCAGTTCAACAAACCTGCAGTTGATGGTTTTTACCTGAAGGTTACTTAAATACAACCACCACAGTCTATTCTTTATAAACACACACACACACACACACACACACACACACACACACACACACACACACACACACACACACACACACACGCACACGTCATGTTTCTTTGATCGCCTTGTAATGATCCTGGCGAGGTGCAGCCGTACGACAGATCTTATCACGTCGTAGGAACCTGTGCCACACACACACACACACACACACACACACACACACACACACACACACACACACACACACACACACACACACACACACCCTCTTGCACTCTGCTATTGCGGTATTCGACTCAAATACTGCCACGAGGTGTGTTGAAATAAACAGGTGTGTGTGTGTGTGTGTGTGTGTGTGTGTGTGTGTGTGTGTGTGTGTGTGTGTGTGTGTGTGTGTGTGTGTGTGTGTGTGTGTGTGTGTGTGTGTGTGTGTGTGTGTGTGTGTGTGTGTGTGTGTGTGGTGTGTGTGTGTGGGTGTGTGTGTGCGCGCGCGTGCGTGCGTGTGAAAATAACATGGTGGCTTGGCAGCACACACACACACACACACACATTTAGGTAAACATAACTAATGGATATCAAATGAAAGTATAATAATAATAAACATAAAATCAATAATCACAATAACAGTGTGTATCTCTCCCTCTCTCTCTCTCTCTCTCTCTCTCTATCTCTCTCTCTATCTCTCTCTCTCTCTCTCCTCTCCCTCCAATCCTCTCGTCTCTCCGCTCTCTCTCAGCTATATCGATCTCCTCTATAGCTTATAATCGAGATTCTAGCTCTTCTAATCTCTATCCTCTATCCTATCTCTCTGCAATCTATCCTTCTCTCTCCTTCCCTCCTCTCTCTCTCTCGCTCTCTCTCTCTCCCTCTCTCTCTCTCTCTCTCTCTCTCTCTCTCTCTCTCTCTCTCGTGCAGTGATGGTTCTGGAAGAAGTGGAACATACGTCCTGATCGACATGGTGCTCAACAAGATGGCTAAAGGTGAGTTTGAAGCAACGTACGAAAACAAAAAATCTAAAATACTGTTGCTTTGAAAGCCGAGTTATGGGGAAATATGACCACTATTATCAAAGTTGATTTAATAAAAGAAGCAGGATGATTGCATTCAAAATGATGGGATTTAATTAGATAATTACAGACAGAAGGCAAACACGTATATGTCCCATTATCACAAAACCACTGTTGCCTCAGCCAGAGAAAAATGACTCTGATTGTTAGTTGTTTGATTAATTATGGTAAATGTGTATCAGTGTTATTATCTCAGTGGATGCTTTGCAGCTTTGGCACTTTACTGAGGCTTTCTACTCCCAGAAAAACACATTTAAACTGCCAAAAATAAGGAAATGTGACCTGGTTTGATAAGAAAATGAGACATAAAGTAAAGAAAAGCAAAGAGATGGAATAACTGGTGAGAAAAAGATTGAATTTGAAACTCCTCAAACTGCTTTACATCAAACACAGCCGACCTTGAACACTTTATTTGAAGTGTCATCACAGCGAGTCTCTGCAGCACATTGTAAGTGCATTTTAATGACTATAATTACAGCGTTATGTAACAGAAACAGTGATTATGTTCGGGACTGAATATTTAATGAAGTTCATGACATGACATTTAAATGAAGTGTCAGATGCTGTTTTTTGAGTGGGAACAAGTGACTTCTACTTCTTCAGTTTATGTGATTAGGTCGGTTTTTAAGCTGGAGGTTAGACTGACATTTACAGATATAACGTTCTCATGCTAGGAGGAATAAAGTGAAGTGTATCATTTCTGTAACTTCTCTTTGTTATAAGTCCAAATGAGGTAAACATGGAAGCTTAGTCCAGGTGTGTGTGTGTGTGTGTGTGTGTGTGTGTGTGTGTGTGTGTGGGTGTGTGTGTGTGTGTGTGTGTGTGTAGTTGCGTGCGTGCGTGCGTGCGTGCGTGCGTGCGTGCGTGCGTGCATGCGTGCGTGCGTGCGTGCGTGCGTGCGTGCGTGCGTGCTGTAGCAGAACGAGCTCCTGGGTCTTTAATTCAGGATCAAAGGTTCAGTCGGGCATCAGGGGTCTTCCCTCCCCCCGTCACACACTGTGCCCCTCCCTCCTCAACGTCCAGGAGCGAGGAGGGGAGTTAAAGTAGGAGTACATCTGAAGGGGTCCTGAATCAGGAGCTTCCATTTTGACCATCAAGCCAAAACTCAGCATCTCTCTGGATTCAATAATGAAAAAATAGTTTAAATACTAAAGGGAATTCTCCTTTTTTTATTTTAATTTTGAAATCATGTAATTGTAATTTATTTGTTTTATTCAATTTTCATTCATTTTTTTATTATTATTTTGTATTATTTTATTTTATTTAACTTGTATTTAATTGTATTTATTTATTTTAAATATATTTTGGCAACTGAGACTTTCTCCTAAAACTCTAAATATTCATCAGGAGTATTTATCATGACAGAAACTCCTTCAAAGCCTCACAGAAACGTCTCATCTAAGTAAGAACATAAATCCTAAAAACAACTCCTATTCTTCTTCAAATGATCCACTAAATGCTTTCTGTTTAATTCCCATACGAAGCTCCATGTATTGAGTCTCCTCTGAGTTTATATATCATGTAAAAAATATCCTTTGTTCGTCACCACAGCTTGTAAACCCTCCTCCGCTCCACCGCTGCTTTCAGCTCTCCACCCTTTTTTTTTTGGAGCTTTTTGTCCGTCCTGAGAAGCGAGAGGCCCCCAGGTTTGCAGGCTTCCTTCATCCTGATCAAAGACCCTTCCCTCTTCCTCATCTTCCTCCCCCTCGTCCTCCTCTTCCTCCCCCCTCTTCCCTCTCCATTCCCACTCCTTTTCTCCTGAGGAATTAATTGTAAATTCAGGCGAGGATAGCGCTGGTGTTTCAGGGTTGAGGAGGTGTTGCTGCCGTTCTCACGTTTTTAGTTTTCTTCTTTTCTAAAAAAGCCTCCCCCCTCCTCATCCTCCTCCTCCCCCCTCCTCCTCCTCCTCCTTCTCTGTTAAACCCCCTCCTCTTCATCTTAAGAATCCAATGAAACCCATCGAGTACCGGAGAGCTTTTCAGCATCTCTCCATTTCTTGTTCTTTCCCCAGGTCCAGCTGCTGTGCCTCCTTCAGGGTTTCTTTCTCCTCCTCAAGGGCCCTGTCTTTTTAGTTTTGTATATCCCCCCTCCTCCTCCTTCTCCTCTTCTAAAGCTCCCCATACCTCCTCCTCGACCTCCACACTAAAGCGAGGGTGTTGCAGGGGAGGGAATACAAAAATAAGTCCATGGTTTTTATACCATTCCTCCTGTTTTCATGCATCCAAAATCTCATCCAAGGGACCGTTTTCGGCAAATCTGGGGAAAATGACAAGTTTTTCATTCCATATATACATGTCGTTTTTTAATTGTATTTAACAAAAACTCAGCGTTTTTATAATAACAGGGTGTCCGCGGGGTCTTAAAAAGTATTAAAAGTTGATAAATCAATTTAGCGAAAATGAAGGCTATTAAAAAGTATTAAAGGGCATTTTCCAAGGTATTACATTTTGTAGCTTGTTTCCAATAAGTATATAAATTGTCCAAAGAGGTTGTATTCTACAGTCTGCCTGAATGTAATCATTGCGTAGGTGTGTAGTGTGATTCTGTGTAGTTTATTTATGGCATCCCGTTGGGTTTGACGTCATCTGAACAGGACATCGCACGCTCACTGCTTGATAGCGCGCAAAGGTCCGTTTACGCCGGTTGTTAAACAACATCGTTATGGGGAAATGCAAGTCTGCGTCCAAATGGTTGGAAGATAAGGAGGAAGGACAATCAATACTGTATATAGTAAATGTGAGGTAAAGTGTGTCGCCAAGGTAACCGGTTAGAACTCAAAGTGGCGATGAGGTCTTAAAATGTATGGAAAGGGTCCAAAGATCCAAAAATACTTAAAGATAAAAAATACTTAAAGTTCCAAATATACTTAAATACTTAAAGTTCCAAATATACTTAAAGTTCCAAATATACTTAAATACTTAAAGTTCCAAATATACTTAAAGTTCCAAAAATACTTAAATACTTAAAGTTCCAAATATACTTAAAGTTCCAAATATACTTAAATACTTAAAGTTCCAAATATACTTAAAGTTCCAAATATACTTAAATACTTAAAGTTCCAAATATACTTAAAGTTCCAAAAATACTTAAATACTTAAAGTTCCAAATATACTTAAATACTTAAAGTTCCAAATATACTTAAAGTTCCAAATATACTTAAAGTTCCAAAAATACTGAAATACTTAAAGTTCCAAATATACTTAAAGTTCCAAATATACTTAAATACTTAAAGTTCCAAATATACTTAAAGTTCCAAATATACTTAAATACTTAAAGTTCCAAATATACTTAAAGTTCCAAATATACTTAAAGTTCCAAATATACTTAAAGTTCCAAAAATACCGTAAATTCCAAAAATACTTAAAGTTCCAAAAATACTTAAAGTTCCAAATATACTTAAAGTTCCAAAAATACTTAAAGATCCAGAAATACTTCAAGTTCCAAAAATACCGCAAATGGTTGGAAGATAAGGAGGAAGGACAATCAATACTGTATATAGTCAATGTGAGGTAAAGTGTGTCGCCATGTAACCGGTTAAAACTGGAAGTGGCAGGTAGGTCTTAAAATGTATGGAAAGGGTCTAAAAAAGGTCTTAAAAGGTCTTACATTTGACTTCAGGATTCCTGCATATACCCTGAATATGCAACATACAATATATCAAATGCACATTTAAGACCTAAGAAATATATAAAATAATGCAAGTGACACAATGGTGCATCAACTATCAACTATATAGTTCATAGTTGAAAGTGTTTGTCATAACCTTTATTGTCCATCAGCGTATTCAGAGGTTTTTATGCCATATATTCATGTTTTAATCTTATTTAAGAATTAAACCATAAGCTGTTTCTCCTTGTTAATGCATGTACCCGATATAACAACATTCTAAATTGTATGATAAAACATGACGTTGAAGGAGGTCTAGTTTTAAGATTATATTTCACATCATTCATCCAAATCTGTAAAGTAACTAAAGTGAGTAAGAGTAAAAGTACACGATGTACCCCTGAATTGTCGTGGAGTAGTAGTACAAGTACCTCTAAATTGTACTGAGTAAATGTACTTAGTTACACCACTGCTGAAGACGTAAAGAAAACGATAAATGGTGCAGAAGACAAAACGGTGCAAGTAAGGGAGAGTTTTCCCACAAAGACGGAAATCTTTTTAATGTATTTCTTATATATACCTTCCATTTTGAGGTTTTTCAGAACCAGCACAAAGGCCCTCAGCTTGTTAAGCCCTCCCTAAAAAGAAAAAAGCAGAGAGCGGCGTGTTGCAGCTTTCCTGGCTAAAAGGGAGTCCATTGTGTTGTTAAAAAAAAGGCTCTGAAAAACCTGTGAAACTGAACAAGAACACGGTGTGAATGCGCCGCTGCTCTCCCACCATTCACGCTGTTGTTTTTATGCAGCCAGGAAGAAGCAATGTTATTATCTGTCACTACAAGAAAGGACTAAAGAACATTACTGCGCTTTTGGTTTCCTCGGGATGAAAGGAGGAGAAGGGAAAAACAAATTACATTTTATTTCTCTTGTTCTTTGGGAATTTAATTGTGTCTCTCTTGTTTCCCAGTCTTAAGCGGTTTCTCTCTGTTTTACCTTTATTTGTCTGTGTTTCTTCTCCGTTGTCAACGTATATTTGCGTACCTGTAGACATTAGTTGTCTTCACATTAAGAGAGGACATGAGGACATTGTGATCTTAATGTGAGTTTTAGTTGGATTTTTCTGCCAGCAGTTGTTTGTCTGAAAAAGAAATCTCATTAACATATATTTATATAAAAATCTCTTTTCGTGAAAGTGCATTAAGAGCCTCAGAAGCCAAGTCTTACATCTTGAAACGCATTAGTGTTTCAGGCTTTTAAGGCATTTTCTAACCTTCCTTTATTCTTCCATTTGCACCTATTTCACTCCTTAGAAAGCCTCAGACTTTATTCAGGTTATTTCTGAGGACGCTTTGACAAATAAATGTACAAAAAGACACAATTTATCAGCAAATGTTCATTTCTGGAGAAAACAACCCCCCTCTATATACATATGTTTTAAACATTCACAGTATTTGATATGGGAAACATGTTACATTTACTAAAAGAGATGATAGTAACCTTGACAATATTAGTCAATTTCACTGATAATTGTATCTTTATAAATAGTTATGTAAAGAAAAACACAAATACTTCAAAATATGTCTGAATTAAGAGCTCTTCAACTCTTAAGGCTTGTTTTTACCATAGAGAAAGCAAAGACATTTTTGTTCAACAATATAAAATCAGTAAATAATTTGAATCGAAAAACAGAGGTTGCTAACATGTGTCTAAATGAGACGACTAAACGTCATCATGCCCAACATTAGCCTCCTTTAGCTTAGCGGTGGTGACGTGAAGTCATGTGACCGTGCTGTAGTTCCTTTATAGCCCAACATTAGCCTCCTTTAGCTTAGCGGTGGTGACGTGAAGTCATGTGACCGTGCTGTAGTTCCTTTATAGACCAACATTAGCCGCCTTTAGCTTAGCGGTGGTGACGTGAAGTCATGTGACCGTGCTGTAGTTCCTTTATAGCCCAACATTAGCCACCTTTAGCTTAGCGGTGGTGACGTGAAGTCATGTGACCGTGCTGTAGTTCCTTTATAGCCCAACATTAGCCAACTTTAGCTTAGCGGTGGTGACGTGAAGTCATGTGACCGTGCTGTAGTTCCTTTATAGCCCAACATTAGCCTCCTTTAGCTTAGCGGTGGTGACGTGAAGTCATCAGACCGTGCTGTAGTTCCTTTATAGCCCAACATTAGCCTCCTTTAGCTTAGCGGTGGTGACGTGAAGTCATGTGACCGTGCTGTAGTTCCTCTATAGCCCAACATTAGCCACCTTTAGCTTAGCGGTGGTGACGTGAAGTCATGTGACCATGCTGTAGTTCCTTTATAGCCCAACATTAGCCGCCTTTAGCTTAGCGTAGTGTGTGTGCAGAGAGGATGAATGTAATCTTGTGTTCTGAAGCGAGTCTGTATGAAACAGCAGACTGACAGATGTTAGCCGGATTATCTTGCTGCTCGTTTCATGTGTGTGTGTTTCTCTTTGTGTGTGTGACAGGTGCCAAGGAGATTGATATTGCAGCGACTCTGGAGCACCTGAGGGACCAGAGGCCAGGAATGGTTCAGACCAAGGTAACACACACACACACACACACACACACACACACACACACACACCTGGATATGTTTGTTCATGTAGACAAATTGGAGTCAAACAGGCCATGAAAGCCGATGCAGTTAATATAAAATATATATATTTTAAAACAGCAGATTTGACTCATATCTCTTGTTTTAAAGTGTGTTAAACAAGTATTTGTATTATATTGTATTTATTTAATGAACTAATTATTTATTTATTTATAATTTTTTATAATTCTTTTAAATAATTGTATGAATATATATATTTTTTTATTATTATTATTTAGTGGTTTCAAAGTTGCTCAAACCGCCGACCTCTGCATAAAACCTTATTTTATCTGAAAGTCAGAAACCTTGCTGGTGTTCTTTATGCCCCGTTGAGAGAAAAGCTGGATTTGATGGGGGGTTTTTTCTTTCTTCGGCTCATCCCTTCGCATCAGGCAAGATCAATCGATTTGTAAAAAAGTAATTCAGCAGGGATTAAAGTCGAGCCTGCACACATCACAGAGGGGTACTGTAGAGAAACCAAATGTCCGGGGATAACCTGCTAAAACCTCCCAAAGGTAAAACTATCTGAGGCCGAGCTTTGAGGTTCTTTTAACTTAATGAAAAAATTGTAAAAGAAAAAGTAGATAAAATTGATATGGAGCTCATTTTTGGGAAATAGAAGATTTTAGGTAATGAAAGTTAAACACACATATATTTTAAATAATAATAATAATAATAATAATAATAATAATAATAATAATAATAATAATAATAATAATAATAATAATAATAATAATAATAATAATAATAATAATAATAATAATGAAAATAATAATAATAATAATAATAATAATAATAATAATAATAATAATAATAATAATAATAATAATAATAATAATAATAATAATAATACATTTTGTAGTGCTATCCAACACATTTTCTTAATAATACAAAAAATAATAATATTACTAATACATTTTATTTTCTAAATATTTAAAGACACTTTATATAAACACGGTATTTTCTTATATAAAACACACTTAAAATACACACAATTACACACTAAAAGCAGCGTGGCTTGTGCAGTCGACAGATTTGTAAGACTTTTTTAAGGTTTAAAAGTAATACACTTATTACACACTGGACAGTAACCTCACATCCTCAGAGCTTATCCTAAAACAACCAATAACACATTTTATTTTCAGAGTATTTAAAGACACTTTAAATAAACAGGGTATTTTCTTTTATATAAAAACACACTTAAAATACAAGACACACAATTACACACTAAAAGCTGCTTGGTTTAGATTGATGCTTTAACTAAACATGTCAAACTCAAGGCCCGGGGGCCAAATCAGGCCCGTGGTGGATTTAATTTCGGCCCGCAGGATCATTTCTAATTACTATTAGATCTGGCCCGCCGGTATATTGCACGTACACCTTCACTCAATCCTGAGGGTCTCCTCAGCTCAGAGCCTGACCCCAAACATTGATGAACTTGCACCCAAGATGAGATGCCAAGTATCTGGCTTGAACTAGCATCACAGAGCAGCAACCTGAGTTTACATGGATGTTTCCTTCTGCACTTTCTTTCTTGAGACAACAGGGCATGTTTGGTTTGTTCTTTGAGGGAAATGTTTTTTTTTAAGCTGTTGTTGGCCTGTGGAAAAATGTAATCATAAGAAATGACTCTGCAGATCGAGCCATAAGAAATGAATGCAACTGATTATTTAATGTTTAATATTGTTTTTATAGGCAATAATTTAAGCTGTGTTAGTTCCAGGTTTAATATGTGCAATAAGTTCATTTCAATACATTTTGTAATAAACATTGAACCAGTCCGGCCCTCGACTAGTACCTATTTTTTTATTTTGGCCCACTGTGTATTTGAATTTGACACCCCTGCTTTAGACATATTGCAACTTTTTTAAGGTTTTAAGTCCCTTTTGATATGCTACACTCATTAAAAACACACTGTACAGTAACCTCACATATTTCCCCGTCTCACGGTACGCCGGGTCAGTCTGGAAACTTCAATTACCGGCTGATCTGTGGACATAATTAGAAAGGAGAGCCAGGATGTGTGTAAAACATTGGTGCTATCGATCCGGCTTTATTAAAGCGTGTTTCCTGAGCCAACGGCTGTCACGCTGCTCCTCTCTCATCGATCCCCTCGAGTCCCAGCCACACCGCTCAGGTTTCATTTCAGATTCTGAAGAGGGATGATGTTGTGTGTCTTCCCCTTCCTGTAATGATACTATACATGCAGTCATCATAAGCATGGAAAGGTCTTCTAAATTGGACGTCTAAGTAATTCCAAAAAGGCATTTTAGAGCAATGCAAGGCTCCAAAACTATAATAGACAATGCTGTGTTTGCATCTGTCATCCTGTTCTTACCATGTTGTTATGTACAGGCTATATGAAGCTCGAAAAGGAGTGTATACTGCCTTTAATTGAACTATATATTGTATATTGTATATGTATATTGAACTTTAATTCCTATAAGTGCTATTGTTTGAAATGCATGATGATTTGCGTCCCTTGTCGGACGTGTTGATTGTCTGTTTTTTGTCCGAAAGATATGTCGCTTTAAATGTTATGCTGCAAGGAATTGTGGACCCCGTTTTATCCTTTTTATATTTGGTTAACCTGTTACGCACCGCCCCCCCCGGTACCGGGCGGATAAACGCGTCATTTGCAGGAAACAACGTCTAATGAATCTTAATATTTAATAAACTATGAATGTTGTATATCCATGTAACAGGAAGAAACTCAGCTAACTGATCTTTTAAAAAAAAAATCTCCAAAAAAACCCACAATGCTAACACTCAGCCTCTGAATTACCCACGAGCGAAAAAATGTAACCTAAAACGGCACCTAAACTCACTCATAACTCCCTTATTACTTATCCTAGATGCACAGCCAACCCATCGATTAGCATCTCCTGGAGACACATAATCTGGGGGTGCCCACCTCAACACTCAGTGATAAACATTTGCGACGCTATAAACGAAAGCGTACATCAGAACATATGGAGCTAGGTAGCTAGAAACGCTAACATGGCTTACCTTGGACAAAACTGGTCTTCAATGGCATTAAAATGATAAAAAAACGATGCTGCAGTTAATCCATAGGTTCATCCAATGTATCTGTGCCCTCTTTGAAATGATTTCTGATAATCCATAAGCAATAAAACTGCTTTTTCGTTTCCAAATGTCAGAGCTAGAGATAGGTCCACTCTGATGCTAAATTACATGCGCGAAGCCCCCACCTCTTCTCTTCACAACCTGTGTGTGTGGGGGACTCCCCCTTCGATTCTATTGGCTCTAACGGTCAGAAAGAGGTGTCAACCATCCAAATCGACCAAGGGGGGCCAGAGATATGGAAAAAAAATTACCCAAATCACCTCAGAGGTGGGGTGGTTTTGGCCTAAACCTCTCTAAAAAGGTCAAATGTCACTTGTTTTGCATCAATCTTGATACAGGGTACTTATTATATGTTGTACTTTGGATTCCTAAAGCTTTTAGTCTACTAACCCATCATCCAAGGGTAGTTTTCACTATAAGTAAAAAAGAATTTTTGGACGGACACTATAATTTACAGTTTTTTTACTATGTAAAATCTGAATTTTCTTTAAAATAAAAAACATCTATATTGATTCTGACACTTCTACATCCAACTCACAGATGTAACCTTGCTTTGATAAAATAAATTATTCATATAACCCTTTTAGAAGTTAAGTTGTAGTCATTTGTTTTGGGCATGTCATTTTCGAGCCTGAAACATGAAAAACAGGCTTAGGTGCTTAACAGGTTAAGGATGGTCCAGTGTATCCTTTGCCAAAGGACATAATAAAGGAAGCATTACATCTCCTTTCCTTAGCATTTCGAGCATTGGACCAACTTTTTAGCATGTCTGCATCTTAGGTACTTCCAGATCATTTCACCCAGTTCAATTATATAAGAGCCATCTTTCCACCTTTAAGCTCTTTTCTGCTCTTTGGTTTTAGCGCCTGGCCGACGCGCTCACACATCACTCAGAGATATATTGTTCGTTTTTGGTACATTTATTTCCATGTTCGTTCTCTTCTTCAAACACAAACGAAGGTATCTTACCAGACGATATTGAAACAGTTTTCTTCACTTAAATAAACAAATCATATCTTCTCTGCAGTGCAATGCAGCGGTCAAAAAACCGTGTGGCTTCACAACCAAAATAGCACCCAGAGTGTAATCAGCAGGACTCTTTTAACCAGCTGAGGCAATCGCAGCACCAATCAGCCGCTCCGCCCAACCGTGGCTGTGGATCCCGATCAAATGACACCAAACAATTATACTCCATTACATACATTAAATGATTAAATAATAAAAATAATAAATCAACGTTTTGGCTCCTACAAATTACTTAACAAAATAAAACCCCAGCTCATATATCAGTGGCCAATAACAGGATTAGGAAAGACTGCATCTTGTGGATCCTGAAGCTTAATTTCAACAGAAGGAACTTGAGAGTTTTATGGAGTTCCTTTGTTTATCTCCAACAAGTTACAATCCCTTTTGTCTAGCCTTGATTCAATGGCCTTATGGACTATTTCCTCCTCTCTCTTTCCCGTCGCATTTTGATTAATGACAAACAAACTCTTGTGTCATTTTTTTTTTGTCATTTTGTAAACATTGATATGAAACCAGTTCAACAGCAACATCCTGGATGCATGACCACTTCCTGTTGGCCGTACGGTAAAATCCGCAATGACTATAATCGCTGTTCCTTGTTAGCTCTTGTCTCTAAAACCATTTGTACAGAAACTATAACCGAGCCTTGAAGAAGTAGAAGCAGATGGTTTTGGACTGAGTTTGTTTAGCAACTCAAAGATCACCTGGAGACAAAAGAGTGAGAGACTTCAGTGAGTAATAAAAACACGGAGAAAAGCTGGTATTTCTGTGGGATGTTGTTCACCAGCCAAAGCTTTTTGCTTAAGGGCTCTTTGGCAGTGAAATCAAACCGGTGACTCATCCTTCTTGCTTTCCAGAGTTGTATACCCACAGTCCTTTTCACTTTCTTTTCTTTCCTCTCTTTCCTGCAGGATCAGTTTGAGTTTGCGTTGACGGCCGTCGCTGAGGAGGTGAACGCCATCTTGAAAGCTCTTCCTCAGTAGAGAAGAACCAGATGGACCTCCTCTTCTTCCTCCTATGTCTCACCTAGAGGACTTTCCTCTTCCCATCGCCTCAACTTCCTGTTTCCATCTTCTCCTTTCTCCTCATCTGTTCCTCTTGCTTCCTTCCCACCTTGTCTCCTCTTGTATTAACTTCTCCTCTTTCCAACCCTACCCCCCTCTCCTCTCCTTTTCCTTTTCCCATCCCACTTTTTCCAAACTCCTTCTCAACATTCGTCCTTTCCCTTCTGCCTTTCTTTAATTATAAATGTCTCCTTATGTTTACTAGTTTTCTCCTCTCGTCTCCTACCCTGTTACCTCATCCTCGCCTCCTTTCCTTTTCCCATCCCAGTTATCCTAATCTCCTTTAGTCCTTTGGTCCAATTACTTCCTTGTTTCCTCCCTATCTCCTCAACTTTTCTCCTTACCCTTTGGTCGTCTTTCTCCCAATGTGTCCTCCTTTTCCTACCCTAACTTTCCTCATTTCCTCCCCTTGTCTCCTCCTCCTTGTTCCCACTCATCCTCCCCCTCTCTTCTTGCATCCCAGTAAACATTGTGTCAGGAATCCTTTGAATCCTGAAAATAGACCTTCCTTCTGTTGTAATGATCCATACAGCCTGTTTTTCCAAAGTGACATTTAGACACATTTTCATAGATGGATACAAAAGTTTCTGTGGTATATTTATCATAGTTTTCTGTTTGATTGCTATTTGTTTCGCGTGTGTTTGTATCACAGAGTCGTATTTGTGTTTTCAGAGCTATGCTTTCTGATATGTTCAAAGTCAAAGTGCAACTCATCTGTGATTTTAGATCAGATTTCTCTTTCTTAACGGTGATGAAAAACTGCCAATTGGGTGTTTCCAAAGTTTGTGAGTCCATCTTCAAATGTCCTGTTATTGTGAGGAAGATCTTGGTACTGGATGTGAGCTGGGATAACAGATTATTCTTTCATGTTTCATTCTCATTATCCAAGTAGGAGCAATATAGTTTCTCCAACCTGAATCGGCTTGTCACTGAAGTCACACTCATGTCTGCCTTAATAAAAAAAACACATTTAGCCACGTGGAAACTCGGCTAGTTGGTAACACTTCATTTTAAAATGGCTTTAATCCTTAATCTCAAAGCTTTGTCTCTGATAAAACCAGAAGAACATGCATTGTTTGGTTATCTTTGGGCAGGAAGTTACTTTCTTGGGCAGTGATCTTATGTACTAAAGAATACATAAATGAACACTGGGAAGAGGCCATTTTAAAATCAAGTGTTTCTGACCAGTCTTTCAAGGTTAAATAAAATAGTCTTGCTTCTGAATAGCAGTTCTTCTATGTAGCATTAATGGATGATTTGTACATGTTTAGTAGCTATAACTATTGTTTTTCTGTGACACTCATCAGCGTGTTTCCCCCGGTAACCCTAACCCTAACCCTAACCCTAAAACAACTTGGTTTGACGTGCTGTAACATCCATTATCTTAAGATACGTAAAACAGCTTGTGTAAAATCAACTTAATTTCAATACTTTCAATTCATTTTACGAGCAGTTTTAATGATCCTTTACCCCAAAAATCTCCCTGTCCGGTCTTATTTAAATCACTATTAATATGACTTACGCTTTAGTGCATGGTTATTTATCAGCAGATGGGTGTGCTGTATTTTCCCGAGGCCTCAAGGAGATCTTAGCAAACAAACAAATGGTGACTGTGTATTGCACCCAGAGGCTCCGAGGATCTTAAAAGTGCAAAAGCCAAGGTCTTAACTGAGCAGATGATGGCTAAAGGGAGTTGAGAAGTTGCTGCAGTGTGGATGTGATGTAATACTGCAGCAAGCTGGTGTCATGTTGTTGGAATCTGATCCAGTTTTCATCACAAATTTGAAAACATGTTTGATGTAGAAGACTATCTTAATGCTTCTGCCTTTTAAAAGATACCATAATATAAGTTATACAATTGTGGAAATATGTGAAACTGCTTGGAAGAATTGAAATTATCTGATTCTAACAGACATTTTTAAAGAGTCAAATGTTAAAACAAGTGGGTTTTTTTCTTGCTCAAAATGTTCCCCATGCTTCTCTGTCTCTTTCACTCTCCATCGAGTCTCAATAGATGGCTGGTCTGTTGCATTAACACTCTGTACATAAACCAACAAAAAAGAAAAAAAAACAGAAGATATTTTGTTCTATTGGTGTAAACAAATTGTGAATAAAGTCTAATTGTCGACGCAGTATCGTGATGCAATCCTGATTAGTGAGTTTTGTCTTTTTTCTTACATAAAACGTGTGCTTAGGATGTAATTGTACACAATCATTCGCACCATCTGTGTGCCCGGAGAAACATCTGTTCTGGTTTATAAGCACCGAACACCCGGCTGCATTTTAAATCCCTCCGACGTCAGGTGATAGAAAACACCATCCTGCAGCTCGTATTTTAACATATCCATCATATTTAATCCAAACTCATGTGGTGGAAGTGTTCAGGAACTCCTTCTCCTCTCCTTCAATAGTTTACAATAAGTGCAAATAAACATGAAGTAAAGATAGCAAGAATCCTGAAAGGACATTTAAAAGCATTTCTAAGTGATACGAACAGAATTAGGTTTTGAAATCAGTCTACAAATTCATTCAATCAATTTTATTTATCACACAAAATCATACAAGGTACAACTCCAGCGAAATGCTATACCGTGGTCACGTACAAATCGGTCTGCAAGAGTTCTCTACTCTGTGAGATCAAAACGTTGTCACCTGACCGAATGGTACCGTTCAGACAACCAAAGTCAATGCTGATTTGATATATATGAATGCACCTGCCCATTACCTGATCAAGTTAGATGCCACCTATCACAGTGCGCTGAGATTTGTTACAAACTGTAAAGCACTTACTCATCACTGTACCCTGTATTCCAGGGCAGGTCTGCCTTCACTTACTGTACGGAGACTCAGTCGTTGGTACATGTTCGTCTATAAAGCCATGCTGGGTAAACTACCACCTTACATCTGCTCTCTGATCTCACAGAGAGTCGCAAGTAGCTATTGCCTGAGATCCCAGGATGTGTTTTTATTACATGTACCAAGTGACTCTTTTAGGCACTAACACTTTTATGTGCGCTGCCCCCTCTAGCTTGGAGCGTTTTGGTTCCCCTGCATCATTTTAAAGCACAGCTTGAGGAAATGATATTTGATACTCCTGGTACCTGTCTTTGTGAATAAGTTTGTTAAGTGTACCCGTGTCATTATGTTCTATGTGTCCTTTTTGGTTTTCTGTTACATGTGTAGCCAATGTGCGGCGGGTCTCCCTTGTAAAAGAGATCGTTAATCTCAATGGGATCTTTACCTGGATAAATAAAGGCTACAAACAAACAAAGTTTTACATTGGAAAAATAAATCACTCTATTTCCTCCATTCAGAATATCACTTATGAAAATGGAAAATGTCAATATAGGCTCTATATACCTACACACATATACTATGAGCTGTGCTTGTCTTCGACCAGTTAAAATCTATTATTGGTTTTATTTCTCCTCACCATATATATAAGTACAAAAATAATGAAAACAGATCTGCTAATAGAGCAAGTGAGAATGTGCTTGTTATGATTGGATATTTAGAACTTGTGATTAGCTGGGAAAAGGTATTTTTGAACTATACATGTATTTGACCAGAATCAGGAGATGCTGTGTTAAGAAATAAGCCACACATGCTCAAACGTGTTCTAATAATAGCTTGCATTTATATAGCGCCTTTCAAGGACCCAAGGTCGCTGTACAGTAATAGGGCAAAAACAAACATAACAAAACAAAAGTCAGACAGACAAAACAACAGATCGATTAGGGGCCGAAAGCCTTGGCAAACAGATGGGACTTGAGGCCCTTTTGAAGGCGTCGAGTGTGGGGATGTTGCGAATCTCCGTTCCAGAGGGTGGGGGCTGCCACACTGTAGGCTCTGTCCCCGAAGGTTCGCAGTTTGGTGCGGGGGGGTGGTGAGCAGGCCAGAGTCTGAGGACCGCAGGTTCCGGGGTGGGGCATGTGGGTGAAGGATGTCCGATAGGTACTGGGGGGCAAGGGCATGGAGGGACTTGTAGGTAAGGAGGAGTACTTTGTAAGATATACGGGACTTGACCGGCAGCCAGTGTAGGTGGATGAGGGTGGGAGTGATGTGCTGCCACGGCTTTGTGTGTGTGAGTACCCTAGCAGCACAGTTTTGGACAAACTGGAGCCTGTCCAGGGTTTTGTTGGGAACCCCGAACAGGACACCATTGCAGTAGTCCAAGCGGGTGGTGACAAATGCATGTACTAGGGTTTCGGCAACCGACTCCGAGAGTGACGGTCGGAGTCTGATTTCTGGTGTTAGTTGGTGACTTTCCAATATAAATGTAAAAAAACGTTTCATCTGAGAAACAACTGAAAATAAGGTGTTTTTAAGAGTCTTTGTCTAAAAACAAGACCCTTTGTCGCACTGCTTTGTTACTTCTTAACTCATCAGGTCTTATATCAAGTGACATATTCTGAGTAGAAATTAGACGCATACACCTAGGCCATAAAACCCTTTATCCAACGCCTGCACATTGGCCTGGTACTAATATATGTTCTGGTTGTATTGCAATAAACCCAAAGATCTCAAAGGTTTCCAGTCTTTTTCTTTAGATATCCAAAAATACCCGCCCTCAGCCTTTGTATAAGATGCACATTTGACTCCACATCTGTTTTACTACCTAGCTGCAGTACTTAAAGAGTATATAGTACTGTAGGTAATTCATGTATCTTCTTTTTAGGTCAAGTTTGGAGTTTGATGCAGAAGAGTTTTGGTAGAAGATGTGTCTCAACAAGTCCTTACTTTGTATTGCAGTGGTATAATATGCCGCTGATGTTGAAGAAGAAAAAATCCCACATGTACAGTAGAGACACAGATTTGAATAAAATGACATATTGAGAAATAATAAAATGTATGTCTTGTACTCACTTTGACACGTAGGCATATTTGAAACTGTACAAAGAGGAAGTGGACAGGTTTTAAAAAGCCCTGAGAGGTCATGAAACTCACTCAACCAAAAAATTACTTTGAGAACGTTTAATTAATACAAGTTTAAAGGAAAATAAAACATGATTGCCTCAAGTTTTGATATCCCCCCAAGACAGCAGTATTACACACAGACTCACAGTACTTTATTTTACATCTAAACAAGATGCTCGAACATGCAGTTATAATTTCATTGTGGCTCTAAATCCCCACACTGTTTCAGAGAGAAATGCTGTTAGATGTTCTCCTGCAGGCTAATGAGGTTCCCTGAAAGTCAGCAGTCGTGTTATTTTGTAAAAACCATGGAGTGGCTTTTTCACTGTGTCACTGTCGGGCTGCTAATGGGCCATTATTATTCTTGTAGCGAGAAGAAAAAGCTGATTGCAGTTTACAGATGGATGCAGGAGTTTTGTTCTGAAACGAGACGTCTGCGGTTTTAGTTTGTCCCCTTTATTCTGCGAGCAGCGAACACACACACACACACACTCCAACAGTGTGTGTGTGTGTGTGTGTGTGTGTGTGTGTGTGTGTGTGTGTGTGTGTGTGTGTGTGTTTGTGTGTGTGTGTGTGTGTGTGTGTGTGTGTGTGTGTGTGTGTGTGTGTGTGTGTCCTAGCATTACCGTCCTTGTGGGGACCTAAATCTGTTTACACAGTCACGTGTGGGGACTGGCTTCCCTTATGGGGACAAAATGGAGGTCATTAATTTCAGGGTGAAGACTTGGTTAGGTTAAGGGTTAGGGTTAGGGTAAGGGTGTCTGTGTGTCTGTGTGTGTGTGTGTGTGTGTGTGTGTGCGTGCGTGCGTGCGTGCGTGCGTGCGTGCGTGCGTGCGTGCGTGCGTGCGTGCGTGCGTGCGTGCGTGCGTGCGTGCGTGCGTGCGTGTGTGCGTGTGTGTGTGTGTTCATTGAAAGACACTGTGACTCATCATCTCTGAAATGTCAGCGTGTCACTGAGAATGGCAATCAGCTTGTCAAAACAGTCACTGAATATTTACCTGAGGGTTGACTGAATACATGAATAAAACACACAGCTTCCTGTTGCTGAGTACCTGATTAAAGGGCAACATGGCTCCACACACATGGATGTTTTAGACATATTTAACTAGGTACTAAAGTCATACACTGTGTGCACAACATGTTTTGGCAATTATTATTTATTTCTAACGTAATATAACCCTAACCCTTGAACAGTCCACTTGAGCTCTTAGCCTCACAAACTTGGATGAAATCATCAAAAAAACATTGACAATGATTTGTTTTTTGAGCAAATCTTATTTTGCTTATCTTGGTTTTTTATGATTTGTTATGATAGTTGTAAAATGGTAATGCAAAGTATTAATTTTGGAGGGAATTCAAACTGTATAGATAATAAATATTGGCCATTAATGTTGCTTTTGTGCTCATTCGTATGGAAACATTTGTGTGCCAACTTTATTTTGGACCGTGTTGCCGTGCACACACTATTCAAAGCTAAAACCGTTATTGTGAATGGAGATTACACGCGTCCAAAATAGATTTCCCAGTTTAGCCAATCCCCGGTGATATTGAGTGGCAAAAGTCACCTCAGATGTGCTAGAGGTCACCATTTCCAGTTGGTGAGTCTGTGGATATGTGGATGTTTTAATGCCTTTATCGTGTGCTATGTAGTAGGATTTTGATCTTCTGTGGAACATGCAGGAGGGCGTCCAGAACAAATGTCCTTATGGGTTTAATAAAGTGTATTTACATTACACATCATTACATATCATTTAGCTGACGCTTTTATCCAAAGCGAGTATTGTGGAAAATAACTCAATCGAGTCCATCGGAAAAAATGACTTCCTGTTACTCTAAAGATTAGGAATCGTGGAAATTCATATAACATTGAATGCAACCAATCCTAAAGAGAACAAGGGGGTATTTTCCAGCAGACTTGAATCAAATGTTTCTGCTTCCTCTGTATAAACTGGTGACTGTGACAATACAAAGGTTGTTCCACTAGTGTGAACGCGTCGTAACGAAGGTGAGCGAGGGCCCTTTAAATGATTTCAGCCCAATTTCCAAGTGATATTTACAACCCAATTAACATCATACAGCGTTCAGGTGTTATGGCACGGCACTCTGCAGGATTTCAACCATTATCATTTCAACTGGCAAACAGACCTGAAGGAAATTATTATTAAAATGGAGAAAGAAATACATTTTCTTTCATTTAAATCAACCCCTCAGATCTTTTTCTCATTACTGCCTCGT